ATGAATAAAATCAAAACTAACCGGCCAGGAATTGTTATTAGAGATCGCACACAAAAAGGTGACTCCTTATTTATATGGGAGTACCTGCAGACTGCGATGTATCTTTGAAGATCGTCAAAAGCTATCAAAATACAAGTACCTTGAAATCGAAATGTCAATAAGGTCGCACATGGTAACAACTACAATCCCCCTTGTAGTTGGAGTACTCCGATTGTTTGGAAAAGATTCCAGTAAACTAATTGAAGGGATCCCTGGAAGCCCATGCTTTAAAGAAAGACAAAAAAAATGTTCTCACGAGTACAACCCCTGACATTACGAAGGGCTTTATCTATGTAATTTTTTTTTTTTTTTCAGTGGAAAATGTCATGATGCCATTTCTAATCTTAGGTCCTTGGGCGGGACCGGAAAAATGAGTGCACATCAGAAATCAAAGGAAATAAAATAATAATAATATTAATAATTATAATAAGAATTGTTATGATCCAAGTTCCTTGTACCACGGTAATGGCCCTATGTTAGAACCAATGAAAAAATAACACGAACACGGATAAGGAATACAAAGATATATTACAACAGAAATATAATACAAAGAAGTAGAAGTATTAGTAATGGCTATCAGATTTGGTTAGAGTGAACTATGTTGTCTCGACAAGTTTCACTATTTCAGTGTCCTTACAATATGCTCTCAATTATCTCTCCTCGTCTTACAATCTTCTTGAGAGGCGCAGTATTTATAATGCCAGGAACAGTCCATTATTATTATGGGTAAGTTCCCATAACAAATAATAATAAATGTGATGATGCCAGAGCGTTGAATGGAAAATTCGAGAAATATAGATAAGTTGTTAGTTTTGTTATTGCTGTACATGGGAATTGTTCGAGGAATCATTCCTGAAATTAAGATGCCTTGGAGATAAAAAAAAAAAAAAATTATCACAAGTGGCAGCACTGCTTGGAAATAGTTCATGAACCGAGAAATGCGATGTGTCTCTTAGCTTCAAGTAGGAAGAAAGATATATTTTTATCACTCGGTCGAAACATTTAATAGTCGTGGAGGATATGAAATAATGGCAATAATGATATTAATAATGTTAGAATGAATAAAGAATGAATATATTTATGAAAACCGGAACTGCAAAAAAATAACTGTTTGAGATAAAATTATTCCCTACATTTTTAAACGTTGTATTTTGTCCTTTTACCACCGTTTATAGACCCTGAGTGAATGACTTTAAAAACAGAGACAAAAGATATTATTAAAAGTTGAAAATCACAAATGGCTTAAAGCTGTGGTGGGGCATGATCGCAGAAGATAAGGAAAATCTACAAGTGACTGTTAATAAGGGAGTTTACAGTATCGTTTATAAGCAACCAGGATGGTGATTGATTTTTGAGGTTTGTCACACAGTATTGGTCTTTCAGGATCAAATAGAGTATTCCTTTTATGAATTGGTGAATGTTGGGCAGGAGGCGTACATTTATTGTCCAAAGCAATAATTGAATATAATGGAACGGAAAAGACGAAAAAACTGCTTTAACTCATGATACGAAGAATTTGTAGTACATTTCTGGAATACAATTCATTTAATAAAAGAAAGATACGTTGTTTCTAATGGATTTAATGTGTAGATAAAACATTAATTTTAATCAGAAACCCGAAGCACTGGTCCTTAAAATACATTTATGCAATAAATCTTTTAAGAAATGAATGTAAAGTAGCAAATTTACACATCAATTTGATAAAAGTAAATACAATAAAATATTTTATATATATATATATATATATATATTGAACAATAAGAAAATAAGAAAATTAAGAAAAAAAAAAAATTCAAATCTTTAGACACACTGGGTGGTAGATTAATATTCTCTCGTTTTTTTTATTATTATTCCATTTAGATATATATATTATTCCATTTTATATATATATATATATATATATATATATATATATATATATTATTCCATTTAGATATATATATATATATATATTATTCCATTTATATATATATATATATAAAGATATATATTCAGAGAGAGATAAATAGATAGGCAGCTAGATATAAACATGTATATGCATACACAAAATATATATGTATATATATATATATATATATATATATATATATATATATATATATAGATAGATAGATAGATAGATAGATAGATGGCATATTGTCATTGTTCGTGAAAAGAAAAGATCTATCGGGAAAATTTTTCGAAGATGTCTGTAAAAGTATTTTAGAAGATGCAAACCAGGCGCTTCTTTCAAGCTGAAGGTTTAACTGCATGTCAGCTCAAATGACGGTCCCCCCATAAGGGTTACAGTTTCGATGACTTTATTTAATTTGGCATCAACCACCATACCTATACGGAAATAATAAAATTCACAAAACCGTACAGACAACAACACATCATTTCACATATCTCAACACCTGTCTACAGGTCACGATGGACAAATTGGCGTCTAATTTACGAAGCATGAAAATATCAACCACATATAATTTTAACAGATATATTAACCAAAATTGCAGAAAAATATCTGGAAATTCCAAGGAGTAAATTTATTCAAGAAAATCTTTATGATCTTCAGCCACGGCCTCCAGACGATTAGGAGGTCTCCGTTGTTAATTTGCTGAATGCTGCCATAACCCTTACCTTCAGTTCATCTTAGCTGTTAGAAGGAATTTTGTTGGTCTTTCGATCAACTGTGCCCCACACATAACAACAATAGGGGTTTCAAAGTTGGGAGTTAGGCGGCCAGAATAAATGGGTAATATGGTTGCTGAAATTATTTTAACCAGCTATAACAGGGTCCTACAGCTCTTGTTGCTATGGTGCATATATCTGTTTCCAGACATTGGGATTTCCAGAAACTATCGTCATTTCCCAGGTTAGCAATACCTGCTCATGTCACATGATATCGGTTTCCATGTTGAGTCTGAGTCATTCACCAATAAATTCGGGAGATCATTTATTATCAGAGTGATCAGACTGATTTTTCCTGCTGTAGTACCTTCGAAATCATCATTAGACCCATCTTTCCGAATCCTCTGCACTGTCCTCAGATGGACACCCGAATAGTCTGAAATGTTCGTATTGGGCTTTGAATTGCGTCACAGTGCTCTTTTTTTTTTTCTCACAGACGGTACCCAACGTAAACATCTATACGGTGCAGTCGATAAATTCAACGCCGGGTGCAAAATTAAAAATTAAACATGGTGTCAATTTACCCATCGCAACCTCTACAAGCTGTCAAAGTTCCTCAAAGTTATCATTAGTTCATATCTACCTACCAAATCCGCCAATTCCTAAAAAACTATACAACCAAACCAACATATATATTAGGTAGATGAGGAGTTTTATAAATTTACTATATATATTATTTTCAATATTAGACATTAATTACTAGAAAATGGACCCAGGATTGAATCCATGGAAACACTATCCCTTTGAATATATATATATATATATATAACGCCACAAATCAGGGCCTACCCACGTTTCTCACTGACACAAGAAAGACATGCTTACGGAGGTGTTGAGGCTTCACACTTATACACACACCCACATGAATATGCACACACATCATATTAACTCACTCCCTAATGAGCCGAATGATAACACACACCCATAGTAATATACACGCTTACACATATCATACTTACTCACTCCCTAAGAACCAAATAACACACACACTTAAAAGAGACACAACCCCTTCCAGGAACCAATAAAACTGTCAAAATGACCAAGGAAATTCGGAGCAGCATCCATTTATAGAGCTCTTATCTTAAATAACAACTTAAAAGAGTCTGTTTGACCAACACAAGGATGAACCAAAATTCATGTTAAAAAAAAATAAAAAAAGACAAATGAAAACTTCAGACAGAAGTTCATTTTCTCCATCAAGGCATTCATTTCTGTAGTTTACTGCTATAGGCAATCAGAATTTTGTTTCTCCTCATGATGGCCATGTTGGCCGAATCTAGTCAAGGAATCTAAATGAATATATAATAATAACGAAATACTAATATACAACCCAGTGTGCCTGAAGATTTTAATTTTTTAATATTTTTATTGTTCAATATATATATATATATATATATATATATATATATATATATATATATATAACTTTTGTGATTTTAGAATGGGACTATAGTAGGGCAAGTTAAAAGTAGTTTCCGTAATATACTAGGTTTAATTTTAATTGGAAGTAGAGGTGGGGTATTGTACAATTTTCTTATAATAATAATACCAATAGTTTCACTAACTGGGACATTAGTGAATAAATTTTCAGCGTCAAGTGAGGGTAAGGTTTCATTATTAGGTTTTTCTTGTTTTTAGAGTTTGTGTATGCTGTATAGAACTTTGAGTTTTCATTTGACTAATGCCTCTAACATCTTCCAACATTTACAATAACACGCTTGTCCACATTCGCAATAAGAAAAATTATTGTCGAAAATACATATATACATTTTCATAAAAATAATTAACACTTCTTAAAGCTATCTATCTTAAAGCATTGAAACCAAACCTTAATAAAACTAATTATGAATACAGCACAAATGTGTTAAAATGTTTACAGTACATAATTGAAAATAACTAAGATATAACTAACAGCTTTACATAGTTTTAAAAGCAATAAATTAGTTACCTCCCTTGATGTTACTGCATGTGTATGTTTATATCATAACATATAAAAAAGGGATGGAGAGAGGTGGGAGAGAGATACCAGAGATTCGTACATTTCCACGGATGGAGGGAGAGGGAGAGATATATCTGTAATGCATACGTTTCCACGAAGGGAGGGAGAGATGAGAGTAAGGAGAGAAGGGGAGAGATATACCAGAGATGCATACATTTCTACGTAGAGAAGGAGGGAGTGAGGGAGGGAGAGAGATGCATGCATTCACACGGAGAGAGAGGTAAAGCAGGAGAGAGAGATACCATTCAAACATACATTACCATGGAGGGCGAGTGAGAGAGGGAGAGGGATATCAGAGATGCATACATTTCCACGGAAGGAGGGAGGGAGTTAAAGAAATAGATACCTTAGATATGCATCTTTCCACGGAGAGAGAGAGAGAGAGAGAGAGAGAGAGAGATGTGACGTCGTCCTCCCTAGTCGCAGCGTCGACCGTGTCGTTCGATCCCGTTCGCGGCGCCAGCTGTTCGCTCCTCGCTGCTCCAAGTGTGACGTTCTAACCCTTTGGTTAGATGAATACCAGCCTCGTCGTTCCCAACCGGCTTCCAACGCCTGGTTACCAGGGTAACTGCACTGATCTCCGGTCTGCCTACCCACGTTGTGATTAGATCTTAGACAGACGGGATCAAACAGGGATTGGGCCGTATGCAAGCTGAGTCCAACGCGGGTGATAACACACAAGAAAAAATAAAAACTCACAAGGTCAAAAATATTGAAGAAAAAGGTAACAACTTTTTATATCTAATTGCTTGGTACACAAGATTATTCCTACCTCCCGACCCGTTCTGTGGACTGTGGCACCACGCTTCTACCAGGCAACTTTAAGGCTTCGAGTTGCCTGCTCTCTAGAAATTTGCATTTCGGGGTGTGGTTTGGTTTCAACACTGGGCGCTGATCTCTACCTGTCGTTCACGGCTGATCTCTCTCGCCGTCCGTGGCTGCAACTCAAACTCTTCTCTTCAGAGTCTAAATTATTATTCACTCATCTCCGCCGTCAGTGCGCGAATTAACTTCTTCTCTTCGGCTTCGGTTGGACGAATTTCTTCACTTCGGCTTGGTTTGATTCCAACATCTCCACTTAGGCCAAACGGACTGCTTCACTTCGGCTGCTCTTGCCCGCAAGGGGGCGAATGAACCGGGCCCGCCGCCCGCGCTCAAACTCCATCGCCGTCCGCGCTGCAACTCTCTCTCGCCGTCCGCGCTGCAACTGATTTCTGTCGGTTGGGGTCTCGCTTTTATTGAGGCAGTCAAAACTGGGGTGGGTCTGTCGGCGCCAGGGTTTTCTTGATAATTCTAAATACGTATTATTTCTGATTAGGGATTCTCCACCCTCGGCAACTTACTTTCACTCCTACTTCCTTACTGTGCCTCTGGGGGGGGCGTATACCCGCTTCCCCTGGTCCTTCGTATGTCAGGTGACCGCTCTCGACCAATGGGGTCCTGGTCGGGCATCTTTCCTCCTCCTTCATGTATCATGTGACTGCCTTCAGCCAATGAGGCTCTGGTCTGGTGTCTTTCCTCCTCCTTTATGTATCATGTGACCGCCTTCGGCCAATGAGGCTCTGGTCGGTATCTTTCCTCCTTCCTTCGTGTCGTCTTTAATCGGGCGTGGACAATCCGTGGCTTTGTCCTGGGGGAAGAAACACCTTGCTTAAAGAAACAAAATTTAAATTGTCCTTTTCGTACGTGACCGAAATGACGATCTCGGTTTCTTTTACACGTGGTATTTTTCAAACAGTTTATCGCTAATTGAATACGATCTAAGAAAGGGATTTCCCAGACTGGGTGGCGTTAACGTGAACTAATAAAAATATTTCACTTTTTTCTTTCGCTCAGAGCTTGATAACAAAAATCTTAATTATCTCAAAAAAAGCATTTCTAATCATCACCTTGTGTGGCATTATTTTCAATTCTGGAATTGTCTGGGTTCTCGTATTAATGGATTGCCTGTATATCCTTAGATAAACTTCCCACCTGTTACCTATCATATTTTTTTCATTGTCTCTAAACTTTATTTCTTCAACCAAATTGATAACAAACTTCCATTTTTCGTGGGCACGGAAGTAGGTCAGGTGCTTGACCGACATCTGTTATGTATCAATCGCGCATGTGTTTATTCGCTTATGACCGGGTTTTCGTATTATATTTTTCTTTTTTTTTCTTTCTTTTTCTTCTTCTTTTCTTTCTTTCTCCCAGATCGCTTGAATGTAAAGAAAGAATTATTCCTAACCCCGAAATATTTTTCAGCCTTAAATAATTATCAAATGGTTGACAAACCGTAAAAAACAAATCATATATTTATGAATATTTCTTTTCAGCTTTCTACTTATGCATGGTGCCACAGAGAGAAGGAAGGGAAGGAGGGTGAGGAATGCATACATTTCCGCAGAGGGAGAGAGTTAGAGATGGGAGGGTGAGAAAGGGGGTAGACAGTGATATCAGAGATGCACACATTTCCACGTTGGGGAGGGCGAGATAGATGGAGGGGGAGAGAGGGCATGATGATGTGCATGTATTCCAATGGAGGAAGAGAGAGAGAGAATAGGAAGAGTGAGAGAGAAAGAGAGTTACCAGAGATACAGGCATTTCTAGGGAATGAGTGATTGTGTGTGTGTGTGTGTGTGAGTGAGTGTGTGTTTGTGTGTGTGTGTGTGTGTGTTTGTGTGTGTGTGTGTGAGGGTGAGAGAGAGCGAGAGGGAAGAAGAGAAAGATCAGAGAAGCTTACTTTTTCGCGGAGAGAAAGAGAGATAGAGACAGACAGACAGACAGACAGAGAAAGAAAAAGTGTGAGTCATATTTTATTAAAATATATACTAACGAGTCTGAGAAAACATGCCGTAATTTGAGAAACATTCTTGTTCCACTCACCTTCAACGTCGCTGCAATTCTGGGTTTAATGTAGGCGTAGGGATATATGGACTGTGATGTGTATATTTGTGTCCACATAAGTTCAACCTAATTGAATAAAAAAATAGTTCGGCACCAATCAGGCTCCTTCCTGATTTCATTTATAAACCAAATTTCCCGAAATATGCAAAAGATTGACAGCGGCTGATTCAGAAAACACAGCCGTTTTAATTAGTTCAGGCTTTTAATCACCTAGCCAATTTAATTAATCCGGATTATTTTATTCAAACTTTTGTTAGACTTCTTTCTTTCTTGTTTTTATTATTCCCCTTTTTTGTCTGATTTCAAACTCGCAACAAACAGAGACATTTCTGGTTATTTCCAAATGGCAGTATGGAATTCGTTCTATTGCAAACAAGTGGAAATGACATTTCCAATTCGAAAAACACACATAAGAAAATGACAGAGAAACACAGCAACATTCAACAACACAGAAACATTGAAGGTTTCGCCTTTCTCGATATTTGTTTTAGACAGACATATTTTTTATTTCATTTTTTTTTATTTACGACACAATAACCATAAATAAAATGAAACGTACAACAATACCACATAAAAGTATCTCTTAACTAACTATATATCCCTCTCCTAACCCCCACTCCTATCTACCAACCTACCCAAAAAGATGATAATATTATTGGTTTGGTTTGTTTTATGGCATGTCAAACTTAATGTGTTCTTTGATATCGACAAGTTTTTTATAGCTGGTAATATTTTTTTCCAAAAAATGTATTGCTGGTAATACACTTTTCCTAAAAAAAATGAATTGCTGGTAATAATTTTTTCATTAAAAAATCTATTACTAGTACTTCAAAAAAATTATTGCTGCTATTAAAACCTATTTTTACACTTTTAAAGTGTTTTAGTCCCATTTTGGAGGTTAATTATTTGCCCATATTTCGGACCCTAACAGATGCTACCACCCCATGTCAGGCTGGGCCTGTGAACACCAGCAATTAAGAGGTGGTTCCACACTCTTCAAAACCTAATCTAAATGTCTTGTTGTTGGATGTAGTTTATCGTCTTACCCAGGACGCTGATATTGTTTATCATCATACCGAGGACGCGGAAGCAGTTTATCGATATACCCCGGACGTGGATGGAGTTTATCGTCTTACCCAGGACGCGGATGCAGTTTATCGTCATCCCAAGAACGCGGATGTAGTTTATCATCTTACCCAGGACGCGGATATAGTCTTACGCAAGACGGATAATGTTATTGATCCTTTTCTATTTTTGGTGTTCGCACAACGATTACAATTTTTATTGATTAGACATAAAAGAACAAGTCAGAATGGCGAAGCACTAACATCTTCTAACATCCTATAATCTTTAAATTTACAACATTTGCAGTTAATCAATCTGTCGGGAAAATGTATTGCCATGACATGCACAAATTCTTCTTGAATTTGTATCGAGCTCTTCTCTCTGTCATTTCCAAATTCTATACCCTTTTTCTTCATTACGTTCGCTATTTGTTTTAACTTATTTCCTTCTAATCAAATTCACCCAAAGCAAGGTATTATAGCCAGTAAGTTGGAGCAAGAAAAATAAAAGAGAAATCCGGAAGTGAGTAAATAGCGATTGATAATGCATCGGGATTTTTAAAGATTAAAGTCGAGTGGAAAGCACGCAGTCGGAAGAGAGCTCCACAAGTGAGAAGTGCGAGAAAAATAATCTTGTAGCATAGAACATGATGTTACAATTAGGCAACTCGACTCTAAATTAATGAGTATCGACAACAGACTTGTACTTCGTTTAAATTCTAGATACCATAGGAAAGAGCTCTTCCGATCAATTATCATGAGTGTAGGAGACGCAGAAATCTAACTTTAAGACGGTTGGAAAGTGTCTGGAACCGAGATTCAATATAAGAACCATTTTTAAAACTGGTGCTTCTTTGGATTTTACCGAAGATCTCTAAATATATAACGAGAGCATCGAGCCATAAGTTGCAGCAATCTCTTCGTGTAATAAGTATAGATAACCTTTTACGTTTCCATATTTTTGTAATATATCGTTGTTGATCACGTTTTTTAAGACAGTCATTACATCGCATCTATCTATCTATCTATCTATCTATCTATCTATCTATCTATCTATCTTGTATTGGTATTAACCATAACGTGGCTCTCAAGTCTGTAGAAAAATCACGTGGTAGAGATAAACACTCAGTTGTGGAGCAAGCTAAGTGAATAATAATCCAACCTTTAGAAAGAGAGCTATTTATGTTGCCATGGAGCATCTCATTGTGCTAAAGTGGGATAGTCCATTGCTTGGGCTGTGATTGGCTGCTGGTACATGAATGGAGGTATTTCTATATAAATACCAGCTTGATTCATCAGTTAGTTTGCAGGGTTTGTATTAAGTTACAACCTGCTTTATTTTTGTCTGCCAGCTGGACGCTAGCTTGGACCTTTACGCCGGTAAGTGCTGTTTATTATTGTTATTCTACATAGTCCCTTGTTAGATGTCGCTGTCCAGTACTATGAAAGGATGGGTAAATAAAAGCATTCCCTTTTCTTTTCTTTTTTTTTTCTTCAAAAGTGAAGCAATATAAATATCAATCCCTTAATATATTTCCGCCGGGCGGACGACGAGTAAATTTTAACACGTCCCCTCAAACACTCACCTAACCAAACAGATGCTAATGCTACTTTCTATAGTCTATTGGTTAAACTTCAAATTGACCAAAGCAGGAGGTAAAAATGGCGAAACTTTTACAACTTGGAATCTACCAATACTTATTCTCTTCATATTCCATAAGTAAGAAAGAAGTTCTAAGGAGACAGATTTTTACGAAGAACTCTGGCAGAAATTCATAAAACAGTACAATCTTATTCTCTTCAAGTTTAGGCTCAACGATTTATCGATCCTACATATTCTTATTACCATGCATATCTGGCTCATTCCTTGTACACAGTTAAAATAACATCATTTACTAACCCTTAGCATTGAGTGGATCTTGAGCCATATATTGTTTGAAAAATATTTAAAAAATATTGACGCATGAAAACATGTTACCATATTTATTTACGAAATGGCCACTGATCCCATATAATTATATATGTTCATTTTTGACAGGATTGTTTTTTATTCCTGCTTAGTAAATTTAAACCTCTTTACCAAAAAAAAAAAAAGATGGTAGTCGAATAGTTTTACTCGGTAGAATGAAGAGTGAGAAACGTAGACTTCCTAACCGCATTCTAAATCCTTGGAGTACGCGTCAGGCTCAAACACGATGGACAATTGATGGAACAATAAGCCTTTCATGTGATACTTATATTGAAAATCTTAAATTTCGGTTTCAGTGGATTAAGCTCTCTTGAGTGGGCACTTTTATTTGTATATCTAGGTCTAAGTATATATTCTCTTGATGACTGTCTAGTATATTATGGAAATGCTGCTTGAAAATATGGGGTTTGTAAGTTGACATATGATTATTTGCTACACCATATGATGTTCGCTTATATGACGGGTAAGAATTCAAAACTTTGATCACAGACGTTTTTAATGATAAGAGATTGTGTCTTGAGAAATCTGTGAAAAGCAACGAGTAACGCACATAATTTTGTCCAAAAGGATGTTGCAACAATATTAAAATAAAACAGGTTCAGTTGACCACTGACCACTGATGACAATTCCAGAACAACGTAACTATAAACAATTTTTTCTATCCTCTGCCAGCAGCAATTATTGAGAAATCATTACCTCGAACCATCTCCAGTGAGACACGCTGCAAGGGCCAATCCGTTTCGCGAGGCTTGTCCCTTAATCGAGACGCAATCGCGCCAATCCTTCAAGGAACGCCATCGAACGAGGGCCAATAACCCCTGAAGTTTCCAAAACATTGTCCAAAAAAAAAAAAAAAGTGTCGTTATGCTAATTGCAACAATTATCATAACGACACAGCAATCAAAAAGCCTAAAAGGCGATCTATGAAGAGGAGATGTTCTCATCAATCACCAAGAGATTAAATAACTGTTAAGTACGTTAACAGAAGATGGAAAATGCGACACCTAAATTCGAACGTGTATTGAAATATCAATCGATACATTCCAAAAGCTAAACAAATTACCCGATTTTTACGCGTATATGGCTACCTTTACAGACGACCAGATAAAAAATATACTAAATTTTCATAAATTTATTCTAGTCAACTGTTTATTGATTATATAAAGCTGTTATTGAAAATGTTCTTACTGTATCTTTAGAAATTCAAAAATAACTGAAATATCACAACCGATTCGATATCACGTTATTTCTACACATGACCACTAAAAGGCAAACCATTGTTTTGTTTATGTTTCATCACGTGATATCTTGCGAATACTGATTCTTCTTCTTCTTCTTCTCCTTCTTCTTCTTCTTCTATACAGTGACAAAGAGCTTGGTGTACGAATTGCCATTTACATATGCTTCAACGACAATCAAATAATACCGCTAATAGCACTACGATAACATACGATAACAATACTTCTACTTCATAATTTATAAATATATTACGCACGCGCAGCTATTATTGTGTTCTGTGTCGTATCTGCATCACTTCACTGTTGTTTAAACGGTATCAACGAAAAGGCCATTTATTTTTGGCATTCGTTTTATTAAGAATGGTAGCTTGGACTTTTAGAGGCAATAGTATGACTGACTTCACATGAATGCATATCGCACGTTAGCTTAGCTGTACTCCACTGCTGATCATGTCAGGTCGCAAACCAGAGTGTGGGAGGCATATCTACGCTTCAGAATTCTTGAGTCCCTCTGTTGAATTCGCGCCGTTTTATTCAAAACCGAAACAAAGGCAATGCACCACTGTTATGATACATCGCCCACTAGGCACTCCGGTCAATCGCTGACTATTCTGGATTTGGCTTTCGTATTCTGT